TAGTTAGAGTGGCTCAGGTTATCCTGAGCTATCTCTATAGTTATGCTGCTATAGGCTTAGACTTCTGGAGGACATGGGGCTCGGTTTTTCATCATTCTGCTTCATTCCATCCCTTTTTTCCCGCTCTGCAGAATTTATTAGTTCAATCTCTAACATCATGCTCTCTCTGTTTTTCGTCACAGTAGCTTCATCTGGTCTGTTACCGTTTGGCTTTGACTCCATCCTGGAAATATCAGCTGTGTTGTTGCGATAAAAACCTTTTATAGATGTTGGAGCTTGGCCTGTTTTTCAGTGTAGTCCTGTTTTTCTGAATGCGACTAACTGCATGTGCTCTCTTTCATCCTCTGACATGGGAGCCGTGTCGGAGCTCGTCTGCCTGGATGTGTGTTTCCTGGAAGGGGCCGCCTATGGAGTTGCCTTTTTGACAGTTGCCTTTTGTATTTCTGCTTCTTTCTGTATGTCTGCTTCTGTCTCCTTGTACCCCGGTCGCCCTCGCCAGATGGCCCCTAACACTTAGATTGATTCACTTGGAGGTTTCTTCCTGTTAAAAGGGAGTTTTATTCTCCACTGTCGCTACCAGCATGCTTGGCGTGAGGGATCACTTTCGAGTCAGTGAGTCAATGCAATCAGCTGGTTTTCCTTTAGATAGAAAACTTTGAACCAATCTGATTGTATGATCTGGTTGAATTGTCTCAGTAAAGTGCCTTGAGATGACATGTGTTGTGAATTGGCGTTATATAAATAAATTGAATTGAAATGAACTATCGTCTGTAATGCTTTGCCTCTACAGGGTCATGGAGAGGCAGGCAGGTATCTCCAGCTGTAATTGGGAAATAATTGGAGCACACCCTGGACTGACTCCAGCACTGGGCGGACAAAGACAGTTTCACTGTATCTACCAGGATAGAAAATTAATCTCTTGAAAGGGCTCTGTATCACTACCAACCAGTTAAAAGGAATTATATATATATATACTCCATTTCAGTTTCCCTTCTGAAAATTATTTTCATCATTACCATCAGCTTTATTTATAAAGCCCTTTAACACCAGCCAAAGCTGAAGTGCTGTACATTAAAGATAAATAATAAAAAAAGAAAAGGCTACAATAGGTTGATAAAGCTACAGCTAAACATACAATAACATATAGAGAATAAAAACAATGAAAGGACGGGCAGTTTTTTTTTTTAAATTACACCGATTTCTAGTCCAATATCAGATTGCCAAACGAATCATATCAGGAATGAAAAAGTGGTATCAGGACACCCCTATTTTATAGTGCACTTTACATTAGTATCTCAAAGTACTACAAAAGAAAGTAAAAAAATTAAATAAAAAGATGAAACAAAAGTCATATATAAAATATCAGTAAAATTGGGAAAGCTGTCTTTCTCAACTATCTTCTGTGTGACAGCTAACCCACTTTAGACACACACAGCCACTACCTAATGGACTGAAGTGAGAGAAGTTAGAGTCTTACTATTGTTAAATGTAATCTAATTAAAATTGAGCGTGTCTGCCATTGGAAAATTGCATTTATAAACTCTAACTATATTGCAAATGCAGTTAATTGCCTCACCCAATTAGGGAAGAACCTAAAGCCTAGTGATGCCATTTAAAGGGTCAACAAAAGAACACTCCTGTAGGTGAAAAATCAAAACAAGTGTACTAAACCTATAACATTAAATCCCTGGAATTAACATCACTTTAGAATGCATTTATCAATCCGTGTGATTGTGCCCATTTCTTAAATAACTAAAACAAAAACACAAAACAAAAGAATTAAACAAAGACCCTCAAACTACATAGTTTAATCATGACTCATTTATATAAGTGGAATAAACGTTCTCATATCTGTAAAATTTACAGTTCTTAGCTGAGGCTACCTCTCTGTACATTTATTCGCCTTATTTTGATTTTATGCAGCAAAGCTCTTTAGGGTCCAGGTCTCTGTAAACATAAGTGTAACATCATGATTGTCAGAGCTGTCGGTCCAGATAAAGAGATTTGAGATGCACAGAGGGAGACAGACAGCCAGTCAACAATGTGACATGGATAAACCCTGCGTCTGTCTCTGATGCCTACAGGAAGTGCTGAGAAGTGACAACCTCTGTAGAGAAAACATGCAGCAACCACATTATCCTGCACACAAATATACTGGAGCAAGAGAGGCTTTGCAGAGGAATGTAAAAAAAATGTCTTATCATATGCAGCATGTTTCCTTACAAAATCATTGCACTTGTTATCTTTAGAGAGAAAAAAAGGAAACTTTTCTGCCCGTGTCAGCATGTATCATCTTTAAATAGTCCCTAAATCTATTCCTTTAATAGGTGACTTGAGGGCTGCTTTTCCAACAAAAGCAATAAAACAAAAGTAAAACAGAAGCCCGTATTCTCAATCCTGGAACTGCCGCCCTGCCTTGCAGAACAGGGTCACTTCTAAATGAGAGGTTTAGTATTAAAACAGGGTTTAAAAAAAAAAAAAACACACACAATAAAACATGCTGGATAAATATAATCTTCTTTTGTCTGTAATCAGTAGGAGGGTGTTTCCAGGACCAGACTCTAATCCGGTAACTACCACTGTGTGAAAATACAGTGAGGTATAACAATAACCGGTGACATCATGAGTGATTAACTCTTCATTCACTCAATGCAGCATTCTGTGACACGTTAATGAGAATAATCAGCTGTTCTATTCAGAATAAGAGATGCCTATTTAATAAGATCGTATGTTTTTTCAAATATGTTTTTTCTAATTCTAAAATGAAAAAAATGCATTATATATCCTAAAATATACACTCAACTGGCTTAAGTTGCATATGTATCTAAATGGCATCCCATTCTTAATCAACAGGGTTCAATATGAAGTTTGTTCACCGTTCCTTAACTGTATCAGCTTTAGGTATTTTGAGAACGCTGTCCACATGATCTAGGGAAGTGTTAATGGGAATGTTTGATTACTCTTCCAGGAGTACATGTGAAAACAAAGACCGGAGAAAAGGCCATTTCCAAACCTTTTCTACAAACGTTTGTTATCAATGTCCCCTCAGCAGAGGATAAAAATGTCCGCCTCAACAGGATTTGAATAAAAAAATCTTGAACTATCTAAACTAGAAATGTAAACTCTATAAGGTTGAAGATCATTGATGGACACAAATTATCTGTTACCTTCAGGAAATCTGTGGGTCAAAGCATTTTTCCAGGATTATATGAGCAAGTCTGTTCAAAAACCAACCCTGTCATGTATTTTCTGTGGACTTCTCTTGGTTAATTTCATTTTAAAAAATCTCTCTTATCAGGCATTGGGTTTTTGTTAGAGCAAACTGTCTGAAACAGATTTAGCATCAAACATGGAGTCATCTTTATGATTATTTATACCCTTTTCACACTGGCAGAAAAAAAAAATTAAATTCGGGAACAATCGGCTTTTAGTGGCACTGGGTAGAGCTCAGTGACGCATGTCTACCCGGGTCAATTGACTCGGTAAGCTACCAGTGTTTAAATTGCCTCGGCTCTGATCAGCATGCTGTGGGAAAACCACACCCGGATTGACGTGTTAAATTACGTGATATCATTAAGCACAAAGATGGACGTCAACATACAGCGCCAGTCACTTCTGATTTTAACAAACCGAAACAACTCTGCTTACATTCGATAAACATG